AAAGGTACAACCTGCCTAATCACAGGAAAAGGGGTAGGACTAGTCTGAAAAGGAGGAGCAATTGGGAAGCATCTGACTTACCAGGCTCCCTTCTGCCCCTGCTTGCAGTCATAAGGACTGTATTCATTCTTCAGCTTGCAAATGATAAAAAAGTTGTTGCCACCCTGCTTGGTCTCACTCCRTTTCATTGAGTTGGATTAAAGTAAGTTGAGACAGATCCAAGGAAAACTCAGGTGCTGCAGGAAATGGTTTGATGGTGTAGTAACCAGTGAACCCAGTTTGTTGCTACTAGGTAGTGCACAGCGTGTTTTTGTAAGATGTAAAACTGATATCCTGACCACTTACCATTGCCTCAGGTGAATAAATCGCAGCCTAAAGACGTGAGCAGTGATATGTCCCTACTTGCTTGCAGGGGAGTAATTAGAGCCTGCCAGGCCTAGGTCACTAGCAGATGGATTTGAATGAGGTGCACTCTTTTGATCAGTTRTGCAGTGTTACTCTTGTTCAAGGCTGTTCTGAAGAGGTAGTTGCCTTTCAGTGATGTGATCCAGTTATGTGAGACTTCTAAGAAGATTAGTTATGTTTGGAGGAAAGAGCATGTGTACCATGGCAGTGGTTTTTATTAGCCATTTCACATGTAGTTGTCAAAATGTAGTAAGTTGCCTTTGTCTATTAAGGTAAAAAGGATCTTATTTTTCTTTTTTGTTGTATGAACAAATGAGGTTTGAAAGGTTGTGTTCTACAGCTGTGTCTGTCTTCTTCCTGTGTTTTGTTGTTTTTATTTTGCAATAGGGGTTGAGATTGGACCCAGGTGCCTGTGGTCAACCCGCATGGATTTTAGTGAAATAAGGATTTCAACTGTTACAAAAGAGCCCTTGCCCTTTCCAACATGGTTTTGCTTACTAATATATGAAGGCAAACAGAAGTGTAACATAAGCAGTTCTATATTAATAAGCTCTCTTAAAAACATTTTGCTAGTAAGAAGGGAAACAGAGTGAGAGAATTAGGTGGGGAGAGGGAGGGGGAAGAGTTTGTGGATAAAATATGAAAATAAGCAGCACTGGTTTGATTTAGTTTGTTCCTGGTGTCCTTTAGCCCTCGGGACTTATACTTGAAACTTCTATACCCTTGGAAGAGGCTTTTGTCACAAGTTCTTTATAGTTTTAGTATATGTATACATTGAAAATGTTTGCTCATAATTAATATTTAAAGTGGAATTTTCTTTTTATTCTCAACAGTTGTCAAGAGCAAAAAGCAGTTTTTGAAGAACTTAGTTGTCTGAGCAGCTGAATTAGTTGTAGCACTAGATAATTTATAGATGATTTCATTGAATCGTAATGGGTAAACTCCACTGAAAGATTTTGTGACAGAATTTCATGAATGAAATTGTATTGTAACAAAATACATGATGTTCAGTGAAAGGAACTCTGGATATTTTTCTGATTTTTTTTTTTTGTGTAATAACCTTAGACCTTCTTTTTACTAAGAAAATAAAGTTCAAGAGTACTTCCTTGAATGGACTAGATGTCTTTGGACTTAATACAACAGCAACTTTATTTATAGAGAAAGTATTTCAAGCTTTACTTATTCACACATTAGAAAAGAGAATGTTTGCCTTTTATGAAAAGACTCCATCCAAATTCCCTCATCACAACTTTATTTTTGTTAGTGACAGCTGACGAGAAGGAGCCAGAGGTCAAAATTAGGATATTTTTGCAGTAGTCTAGAGGGAAAGTTGCATTGTATATGTCACTGTTCTGTCTGAATGAAGTAATTGTAATTAGTCTCTCATTTTGCACCGTGAATTCTTCACCTCCTCAATTTAATGCATTATTTGACATAAACATCAATTAAATTTTAAAATTGTTTTCATTTCTATAARAAAACAACGTATCACTTGAGGTAAATTCAAATAAATAAATTCAGTTACAAGTTATGGCAAAAAAGCTGAAAAGCTGAAATTGTTCAAATGACCTCAGGAAAACAATATGGTCTACAGTTCCCGGAATGAGCCTGACATGTCTACGCAATCCTAAAAAGTCATAATCCATCATTCTGATGCTGGATCGATGGATTATGACTTTCTGATGTCAGATTTGTGAATTAAGGCTTTTTTGAGTACAGCCTGCTATCCAATTATTGCCCCTATTCATATATTATAAATCATTATTCCTTTACCAAGTAGTCAGCAGTTTCTATTTCCTAACATTTCAGAGCTGCTTTTTTGCATTCCCATTGAGCAATCAGAAATGGAGAGTGCTGACCTGAAAAATAGAGCTTYTATCACAGCAAATTGTTGAGGGAACAACGTTTGTTTATATTTCTTGAAGTTGTTAGTGTCTCTGTTGAAATAAAGGGAATTAGATTAGATTGGAACAAACCTCATCTCCTTCCTGCACAAACAAGCAATATAATAAATTAGTAGAAAAACTGTTGGCATATATTGACTCTATTTTTAAGTGCTCATGTCTGAGTTTCTCAAAAAGTGTTGTTTTTTTTTCTGATAAGGTGATTTTTTAAAATATAAAATAGATTGGCTTCTAATTTAAAACTGAAATTTGTTGGTATGCTGTCATAAATGATTGTGTCTATTAGTGGCTGTTAAACAGATAGTCCCTTAAGTTCTTTACAGAGTAAGAAGCGTACTTCCAATGCAGTGAAGTATGTGGTACAAAAAGCTTTACTGCAACTGGTTTAGATGTGTCAAATCAAAAGGCATCCTAAAAACAACTGTATTAAAAGTGACTTAGTACAAGAAGAGGCATTTTAGGTCCAGAGAAGTCATTAAAGGAGATGTAATCATGCCAGGCTGGAGAGTGATTTCAAAAGATTTCAAAAGCTAATGGAATGTAGATCTTGTCCCTATGTAGAAGGGAACAATCGCTAGTATGATTTTGTTGGGTTTTGTTTCATTTTTCTGTATTGATAATTCTTCATTAGGCTGTGATATTTGCAGTAGATGGCCATGCATAAGGTATGTGCTGTTGGTGCACGGCGAGCTGAGGGGCTGCCCGAAGGGGTCGCTCCGCCGTGGGTCGGCGCGGGCAGCCGGGGTGGCTGGCATAGGCCTCCATTGGGCACCTGCGGGCGTCCTGGTGAGGGCTRGTGCGGTGCTGCCGCCGGCCTCCTCCGTGTCACTGGCCACGGGCGTTCCAAGTCCTTGCCACRGGGGCCTTTCCATGGAGTTTTTCCGAAGAATGATTTACCCATCTTGTGTTCCCCATGCTGCTGTTGTCTGGTTTGCAGGTCATGTGTGTTATCTGCACCTGCATGAGGGAGTTAGTGTGGTGTTTTGCATGTCTTGTCACGGAGTAGTTGGGGTGACACATTAATGTGCTGGAACTGAGTCCTTCTCAGAGGAAGTTGGCCTTCTCTTGCCATTTTCATCTCATAAACTCCATGTTATTTCAGGAGCTCTGGACACCAATGTTACCTGTTGCCCCTTTTGTTTTGGGGAATGTTGGCCATTTGCACCCAAGACTTGCAGGGTGCAGCAGAGCGCTAGGAAGACGTGTGGTGTGTTGGGAGGGCGCAGCAGCAGACGCTGTACGTGTGGAGGGACCAGCGCCGGCACCCGATACCTGCTGCCACTGCYGCATTTGCACCAGCACCGATACCTGCTGCCGCGCTTGGTTCCCCTACAGTTCCAAAGTGCTACAGCTTTGGAGACAAGTTCTGCTGAGAGGAGGCCTAGCGCAGCTCTTCTGTGCCCAGCAGATGTAGGCTCCAGCCCGTTCCCCAATATCCTGTGAAATGCAATTGCCGCTAGATGGAGACATACTATTTTACACATTAGAGGAGATGCAGATGGTAATCAAATCCACCAGCTGCTGCCTGCTTTTTCTGGGCACCTTGCCAGTTTCCTGGCAGTATGTTGACTGGGAAGCAGACAGTGACACACTTTGATCGAAATGCTTGTATGATGATTTTTTTGTTGTAATATTATTGTTTTTTAAAAAATGATAAGAGATCAAGATGTGTATCTTGATCAAAAGGTAGTGCTGTCTGCTTCSCCATCAGCAAGTTCTAATTTATAGAAATCAGATTGCATGGAAAGCAATCAGCAAAGGTTTGAGGTCTTTCTTGTTCTACTCACTGCCAGGAGATGCTGACAAGTGAGAAAATTAAAATCAGAGAAGGTGGGGAGAGAACTAGTAAAACATTAGTTGAAATATAATTATTTAAATTTCACATTTTTAATAATCTTAGGCTTGTAAGAAATCAGGCTAAAGTGTTCAAATTAGCTATTATGTGCTCTAAGAGGAGCTGAGGATCTTCCTCTGATGGAGGCTGTTGCTTTGAGGCTAATTTACCATGAAGAGACAAATATATGTGTAACGTTAATTGTTGTCAAGGAGAAATAACCTGTCTGTGGTTTGGGGGCCAAGTTTTTTAACAGTCTCTATTTCTTCCACGTGGAGCTGCACAAGCAGTATAATTTACTAGGACATATAAATGATACAGTGAACACTTGCAAAGAACATGTAACAGGCAGTGCTATAAATATGAAGATAACACATGCAGAATTAGAGGGCTCCTGCTCAAAAATTGCCCACTATGTTCAGCATGTAGGGTTTCAGCATGTAGGGTTTTCAGCATAAGAAAAATATGTTTAAATGCCTAAACTAAATAACAATTACAGATATATATGTATATGTATGTCAGTTGGAGARAGACTGTGTTTTGTTGCGTGGAAATGTATTTCTGACCAGCACAAAATGAAACCCAGGAGCAGTGATTAGAGTTGCTTCACATTTTGCCAAACATTAAAAATAAAATAATCATATGGTAGGAGAGACATGGGATGCACAATATTTAGTCTAAATTGACAATTTGTCTAACTTGTCTAAATTGATACAAGAGGAAAAAAGACTGATGTAGGTAAAGAAGTGAAAGGGGGCTGTCTTCCAAGGTTTTCCTAATTTTCCTAAGTTTCTTTGATATGATTGTTGAGTTAGGAGTCTGTTGGGGCTTTGGTTAAAAGCTGGCTACGGTTACAGGTGACGCCGCTCCAGCCTATTGTGGATGTTGAGCCGCTTCAGGCAGCCTGGGCTGCTTGGAAGCTGGGCCTGAGCAGGGATTGGAGACTCGAGTAATGTGTGTGGCAGGTCAGCCCTGAACTCTGCTGCCAGCATGGTAAAGATGGATCTCTTCGGCCTCACTCCTCTCCTTCCAGCGTGAGGCATGCACCCTGGTGGTGGCTACAGCCCATCTCTCCCAATGTCTTCCTCTTCTTTTTCCTGTCAGAAGCAAACAGTCACAGACGTGTTGTCCTTATCCTGGGAGGAAAGCTGTGTTCAGACTTCCCTTGTATTTGTCACCTAGTCTTGTAGAAGACTTTCTTAAAAAGATAAAACACAAGGAGAGGACAGGCTCTAGGGTGCAATTTAATCCTTCCTATCCACTTATGAGGCCTTTAAAAAAATTGTTGTATTGTTATTCAATGCTGTGTTAGTGTCTGAAGAAATAAAATCTGAAGCTCCTTTATTGTGTAAAACACAATAATGATATACTGCTAGATCAAAAAATAATTCACATATGTGGAGATACATAGTTGAAATAATATGAATGTTGGTTGCAAATAAGTTGGTAGAAAAGACTTTGACTAATGTTTGCTTAGAAATCCAAATAGGTCAACAAATAGTGTTGAAAAACATTTAAATGTCTTGCTCTCCACAGCTAGTTTAAGATTTTATCTTGAGTTTAGGATCTCTTCAAAGTTCTACGTCTGTTCTACCACACCCACTTGGTGTTAAATTTCTGATTGGCTATGGAAACTGTGTTTAAGCAAATATCAAGTGGTGGTGGTTGTTGTTGCTTTTGGGGTTGTTTGTGGTAGTTTTCTGAAAAATGAAGTCAGAGTTTATAAGGAATAAGCAGTTAAGTGAGTGCTACAATATTTTTTCTGTGGGAGGAAAAATATGCAGTAAAAATGATTGCTTTTCCTCATTCTTTGTTAAAACAAATTCTAAAATGTCCACGTACGATTACATGATTTGTCATGAGTTTCATAACAAGGCGAAGCCGACCTGATTTGCATGCCGTTTCACCAGAACCTTTTCATGCCCAAACAGAAATGGAAGTGACTCTTCATCTCAGAAAGCTTCCAAGTGTAAGTGGGAGGAAACCTTCTGTAAGGAGATATTACCTTCCCAAAAACAAGCTCACATCATTCAAGGTGTGGTTGGCTTTGGCAGTTAACCAAGAGGAAGTTTACTGGATTACAAATCACCCACCAAGCCAAGCTATGCTCAAACAAAGCTTTGTTTAACTCTGGTGTCGAGCAGGCTAAGCCTGACCCTATCCACAACTATATTTTTACTTAACATGAATGACAGCGTTATAAGATATAGTTAAAAATAATCCCACCTTTCAAGTTGAGATCTGTATAAATAGATATATGAACATGTCCCATAGTAAGGAGAACCTGTTTACAACGGACTATGAAATTTAATTAAAGTGTGATATGAGGAAGTGGTGACTTCTTTTGACTGAAAAACTCTGATTGGAGTGCTTCTGTTTCAACTTATGTGGAAACATAATTCCAAAGAAGTACTGAAACCTTAATGAGTTATATATTTTCTTGTCTGTGTACCAATCAAATATTGTAGTGCTAAAATAGACTAGTTTCACACAGAGAGGTGACTGAAAACTGTAACTCTGAAATTTGAGAGAAAAATGACTTACTTCTACATTCCCAAATTGGAAAATGCATGTTAATAGCTTAATTTTGATGATAAAAACATGAAAAATAGGTTCTTAAAACAGTGTCTAGTCAATTTTCTGATAAAGTAAATTTGTTTTCCCATTTGTGATTAAAATGACCTACAGTAACATTTTTTTTTGAACTAGGTGTTAATTAAAAATATGGAAATAGATTAAAAAAAAAAATACAGTCACGGTGGAAGAATTACCATAACTGATTTGTTTCCACAACTATGACTGTTTTGAGATGTTTTTAAGATGTCTAAGTTACTGGTTGTTTTTCTGCATGTTTGTTTCCAAAGCAAAATGTGATTCCAATAAAAACAGTAATTGAATTTACAGTCCACAGGACAAATTGTTGTTTTAACAGAAACTTACACACTCAGGCAAATACTTCATGTTTTAGGTTTAATAACAAAGAATACAAACTCACCGTTTTAATGTGGCTTTATATCTTGAGAAGCTTTCTAATATAGCATATTTTAAAAAAATCTATATTGAGCTTTTAAATTATTTGAGCATTTCTTTATATTGTTAACTCAAAATCAATATTCTTTAGATTTTGCCTTTTTTTTTTTTAATGCAATTTTTTCAGTGTTAGAGTAGTTTTTCTTGTGCCATCCGCTAAGGGTGAATCAATATAGACAGGCACGTTGAGATCTAACGAACCTGCCAACTGAGGGAAGATTAGAGACAGTTTGTCACGTAGTGGTCTGGGAATGTACGTGTTAGAGTGGAGCTTGTCCATGGGGGCTTGATCATGGTCCTTCTTACATGGAGAAAACAGTGTTTTCAGAGGAACTGGAGAAGAAAAGGCAGTCCCAGAAAGGAGGGTGTGATTGGCCAGGCTGTGGATGAGGGTGGTATACCATCCAGCTTGAGGGGCTGGGTGCATACCAGCTGGAGCAAACTCTGTGTCTGCCATCAGGTTTTCTTGGCTAATTAATCCCAGTCACTTCTACATGAATTTGAACCCTTTTTGGTTCAAAAATTTCTTCTAAAACTTCTTCATAGTTTTGGGAAAACCTCTTTTTCACACATATGGCACTCAGATGGAGCCTGACAACTGAGCTTACCCCACCAAGTCAATTCCCATGGGTAACCTGCTCCCTAGACATGCTAGGAACTTAGGTACTCACCTGCACTAGTGTAACTAGTTTGTAAATAGAGTGAGATATGCCAAAGAGAGGCATATATGCCAGAGATAGACTCGTTTGTATTAGTATTTTTGGCAGTCTTAGGGATGACCTAAAGCATTATAGAACAATAATAGCTGTGACAGTAATAGGTGGTTAATGCGGGAAATATGCCCCCCCCCCCCCTTTTTTTCTTTAGGCTTAAATCTCTGTTCAGCATAGCTGTATAGGCAGAATAGAAGCTGGTTTCTGTTTTCTTCCTTGATGGCTGCTCTTGGAGTGGAAAGGGAAAGGGCTGGCACTTTGGAGAGTGTCACTATACAGGAGTTGCATTTTTAGGTACCTTACACCTCCTCAAAACCTGTTTGCACCTTTTAAAAATGGTATTGTTTATTCCAGGCGTTTTAAGTGGTGAGTCAGATCCCAAGTTATCATGAGACTTGCTTAAAAGTATAGTAGTTTGGTTCCTTTTGCTTGCTCTCTGTTTTCTGAGTTTTATTTTAAGGTTTGTTTTTTTTTTTTTTTTTTTCCCCCCTCTGCTACCATGAGAGCTAAATACTAACTTTATTTTTGAAATGAAAGCTGAGATTCTCTTGTATTCCCATAACTCTAGGAAGTTGGCAGTTCTGAACATAACGTGAATCCACAGTGACCCTTCCAAGGTGAATCATTCACTGATGTGTCCTCAGCATGAGAGCCAACTGGTTATTTTTTTTTGTATGTCTTCTACTTTGCCTTTCTTAATTATCTGAGAATTGGCAGTATTACTCGGAAGCTTAGTAAAAACAGAAATAGACAAGTACAGCTTAGTAAAATGAGGGTTTCTTTTCTGGGGTGTTTGGATATTTTTACACAATCTCGCTATTAAGGGCACCCTGCRCTACGGTGTCTCTGGAGAGGAGTGCTCTGGCTGTGTTTTGCAGAAGCACCCTTTTCTACTCAGTCAAGCATTACAATTGGCAGCAGTGGTTAGAGTAGCAAGAAAATACTTGCTGTTGCCTCATACAGTTACTGAAACAGTAAGAGGATATGCAAAAGCTTAAACTCCGAGTAAAAATATTTATAGCTGTGACAGTGTGTTTCCTTACTATAATTTATGGGCAAAATATAGGAAAGGAAGAACACAAGCTATAAATAATATGCTATGTGTAAACATAATGGCGGTAGCAAATTCTTTTTATTTAAAAATTAATATTGATGTTCATTAATATAAATTACCACATTTCAGATGACTCTGATGTCCTTGAGGCCAGATGTCACTGACTGATTTACAGCTTCCTGGGGGGAGGAGTAGATCCTGTTTTGTCGATGTAGTTGCGGCACCAAATTGCTTCAGAATAGCTATTTTGGGCTAGATTAATTACTAATGCGTTGTCAGCAAAGTTGTGTCACAACTCTAGGTGCTTTTGCTTCTTGTTCAGTTCAAAATTATGGAAATTCTCTTTAAAATGGATTAACTTGAATTCTGAAATGGAGGAAAAAGAGCATGAAGTATAACATTAAAACTTACTGGCTTTTTGTCTCAGTTAAGGAATAACAGTTTGCAATATCCTGCCCAGGAACATGAACACAGAATTTCCATGTAAATCATTGGCAACTGAGGAGCATATTTGAGAGGCCAAGTTTAGTCCCTCATCGATCTTAATTCTACTTTGAATATTAATACAAGTGTGTACAATCAAAGCGGTTTAGGAGCAAACTCTACTTAGTCTCACTGCCCGGATCATGTATCTGCACGGAGTTGTTGAGAGCCTCTCAGTATCCTGCAGCTGGACCTTGCACATAAATTACTGTCAAACAGGACAGCAAATGCACATGAGGAGCTGTCAGCAGCCCCCGGGTACCCCCGTCCTCCCCTGCGCCAGCGCTGCAGGGCGATGCTGCAGCGGAGCAGCCGCCCGTGCTGGGAGGTGGCACACCGGTGAGGGCGGCAGAACAGGACACTGCGTCTCTCTCCACTGGCCAGAGATCTAGTTCRAGTTCTTCCATAAGAAACACAGGCACCTGGCAAGCCAGGTCTTGAAAATGCCTTCTATGCAAACAGCTGAAATTGAGGTTTGTGAGTGTGTGGCTGAGCCTGCTTAGCATGAATGGCAAAATCACATACAGCTTCTATTACATGAGAAATCTCATTTAAGTGAAAGGTAGGTCTGTGTGCATCTCTAGTAAAAGAAGGTTGTGCAGCACACGATTAGCAACCATACAGATGATACAAATGTGGAGACTAAAACCCAAAGAACATCCTTTTTAAAAAATGTCTGTCATTC